GAAGATGAAATAGTCCTAGTCTGGGAAGTATTAGCTATAATTGAGGTCAGGAGTACTGCACTGAAAATAGGCTAATTAAGTGAATGTTTTTCACACTTAGTTTTGAAGCACTGTTCTAAGCACTTCATATGTATTTTTAAAGTTATTGGATTGGGGGTACATTATGACATTTACAAAAGTTCTTACAACAATATCAGAGTTAAATTCTCCTTTATACCTCTCCCCCAACTTTGTATGTTTAAGAAATTTAATTCTCACAACAGCTCTATAGAAGTAGGTACTTTTTTGATGTTTATTTTGCTGATTCTCAGATGAGAAAAATTAAGGTATAGAGAGACTAAATTAGTTGCCTAGTCTATAAACAGATAGTTACAAAAGAATATCTACCACACATGTATACTATAAAGCTGTATTTCCTTATTTCATATGTAACAATTTGTCTACAGATTATTTTATTTTGGATTTTCTTTGTAGACATTCAGATTATCTGTGAAAAGTAAGTTTTATTCCCTTTCCAGTCTTTTTATTTTCTTTCTTTTTTTGTTCCTTTGTTCTGCAGAATTAAGATTCCATTTGTCTTGCTCCCAATTTTAAAGAGAATGATATTAATGTTTCATTTTTAAGAATAAAGTTTGTGCCGGGCACCAGTGGCTCACACCTATAATCCTACTACTTAGGAAGCTGAGATCAGGAGGATCAAGCATTGAAGCCAGTCCAGGCAAATAGTTTGAGAGGCCCTATCTCCAAAATAAACCTAAACTGGCTTCAAACCTTGATCTCTCTATGTCTGCTTCCCAAGTAGCTGGGATTACAGGCATAAGCCACTAGATCCAGCTGTTTTTTTTTTTTAAGTCATGAAGAGGTGTTGAATTTTATTAAGTGATTTTCTTACATATATGAGATGGTCATATTGGTTTTTTTGACATTTGAAGATTTTTGCATTCTTAGGATTTATGAAATTTGGTAAAATTTTATTTTTAATAACAGTGCTTGAAAGCCAGGAGTGGTGGTGCATACCTGTAACCCAGCTCTCAGAAGGCTGAGGCAGGAGGACTACACCCTGCTCAGCAATCTATTCTTTTATCTTAGAATATATTTTGTTTTTTACTTGTTTATTGGCCGTGTCCCCTGACAAAGGGATTGTAGTCTTCATGAGGGCAAAGAACATACCAACTTTTTTACTTTGTTACTAACTGACTTGAATGTTCTTAAGTTTCTCCAACCCATTCAGGTGTAGCCTGTCCAAAGCTTCTAGTTTTTCTTATTCTTCCAGGCCACACTTAGGGTGTTGGGATTTCCTTGTGTGCTGCAAAAGATGCTGGAAAATATGCTTGCTCTGGGTCACTTGAGTTCCAGCCTGGGTGAAACTGGGTGGAACTGAACTGAATGGGGCCTTGGATGTCAGAACCAGGGACAGCTCCTCCTATTGCCTTTGCTGCCCTTCCCCTGGTTTGGGCCAGGGAGAGATTGGGCAGATTGGTCCTGGCATTCTTCTCTAGCCTCTTTTCTCATTGCTCTTTTGCTTCTATATCCATGCTGGAAGATTAAAAAAACCCCGTAGAATTCCTGTCGTACATGGTGTTTCTCATGCTTAGTACACTTTTCTCCCATACTTCCTTTGCCTGGCTAATTCCTGCTCATCCTCCCAGGCCTCTATGAAACCTACTCTAATTATTCCAGACTAGATTAGACATATCTTCTTTTACTTCTCATATTATCCGTATGCTTCTGTCATTACACACAAAGTTGCATTGAAATTATCTGTACTGTTTAGTACAGTTGTCACTAATCAGATTTATTAAGCACTTGAAATGTAGCTAGTCTGAATTGAGATATAAGTTTAAAATACACAACAAATTTCAAAGATAAAAATGTTAATTTTTATATTGAGATCTTTAATTGATAATATTTGGGGGTTAAATAAGATACTACAATTAATTTCATTTGTTCCTTTTTCACTTTTTCAAATGTGGCTAATAGAAGTTCTAAAATTACGTATCATATGTAGCTCACATAATACTTTAAAAAAATTTTTGTCAATACTGGGGTTTGAAGTCAGGGCTTCATGCTTGTTAGGTACTCTACCACTTGAGCCATGCCTTCAGCCTTTTTTACTCTGGTTATTTTGGAGATAGGGTCTCACTTTTTCCCTAGGCTGGTCTGAACTGTGATCTTCCAGCCTCAGCCTTCCAAGTGCTGGGACTACAGGCACATGCCATTGTGCCCAGCTCCCACACTGTTTTTTAATATTCAAAAAAGAAAGTATTGATGAAGATGCAATTTTTTTAGGTCATTCTTATTGTTTTAGCTTAAGGAAATTCTGGGTGTAAAAGTGTATAGATAGAGAGTTCTGGCTCACAGAGGCCCTTTGATATAGGTTAGCTGTGGACTTAGATGCAAGTATTGAATTAGAAACAGAATGAGCCAGTAGATTTTCAGGCACATACATAAAGAATTACTGAAAGAAGTTTGTCAAGACTAAAAACCAGAATGCTATCTGGATTTCCTACTTTGCTTAACTGATGATGGGAACACAGTATAGGAAGATTCTAAAAACTGGGGCTAAGCTTGACTCCACTATCCTCCTCAGAGATGGGTCATAATAGTTACCAGTTCCTTTCCTCAAAGTTAAGCATGAGGCCAAGATTTAGAAAAGGGGATTCAAACTCTCATGGCATGCTGAGCTTCCAGTTCACTTACACCCAGGCAAAGGCCTTGCTATTTCTGAGTTTTTTGATGGCCTCTGTTTGAATTCAGGTAAACCAAAACTTAAGGATCATTGTAAGCACAGTTGTGCTGGATACAGCAGGACAGAAATGCATCTGGTATGATTGTATGATCCCCGACTTTAAGGAATTTAGAATACAGTGTGAGAGGGAGACAATGATTATGACAGCCGGTGCTATGCTTACATTCTTTCAGACAGTGTTTTAAAGTCTTCTTAGATATTAATTCTTTTCATCTTCCCAACAACTAGTGAGATAATAAGTATTATTATCACCATGATTTTATAGAGGAAGAAATCGAGATACAGAGAAGTTAAATAATTGTCCCATGTTTCACAGCCAGCAAATGGCAGGGCCAGAATTAAAACCAGAATAATCTGACTCTAAGAGTCTTTGTTCTTAACTTCTATTTTATACTGTGGGGTAATAGTTCTCAGTGTGGTCCCCAGATCAGCAGCATCAGCCTCTTATGAAAAATAGTTAGAAATGCACATTCTTGGGTCCAACACAAGACCTATGAATCAGAAAATCTAAGGCAGGGCTCAGAAGTCAGTCACTCTCCAAGTGATTCTGATGGTTGTTTGAAAACCTCTGTTGAAGAGAAGCTTGGCATGCTAAAATAAGTGTCAGAAATTAATCTCATGGATAAAGACTGGGTATGGTTCATCTCTTAAGTTCCCAGCACTTTGCACAGCCCCTGTCAAAAAAATACATATGAATGAATACATATAAATATGTCTATTGGAAAGTGATGTTTGAGCTGGGTTTCTTGCTCTCCTATCAGTGTAGCCAACTTAATGGGAGGAATGATCCTGGAAACAGTTAAGACTTGCAAGGAAGTAGTGTGATATTTCTGGAAAGATATAATAAAAGTCCATACCAGAGCAAGGAACTAACAGAATGGCAGGGAAATCATGAAGCAGTTTAGGAAGGAAGTATGCATGTCAAGACATAGTGAACAGTTGAGCTGGGCATAGTTGTGCACTTCTGTAGTACCAGCTATACAGGAGGGGCAGATAGGAGGATCAGTGGTCCCAGGTTGGCTCAGGTAAAAAGCACAAGAAAAATAAAGTAAAAAAGATCTGGGGGGTGGCTTAAGTGGTAGAGTGCCTGCCTAGCAAGTGCAAGGCCAAATTCCTCCAAACTCCAGCACCACTGGAAAAAATAAATAAAAGATATAGTGAACTGTTTGAATAAGGAAAAGCAGCAAGGAAGAAGAGTTTGGTTTGGACTTATTAAATTTGAAGTGTATTTGTGAAGTCTTAGTAGACTATCCAGGTGGAGCTGTCCAGCAGGCACTTTGGTGTCTGAGATGTGACTGGAAGGCTGTGGGGCCCCTAAGAGTGGATGAAACCTTCAAGGGGAGTGTGGAGAGTGGAATAAGATAAGACCTAAGTTTGGAACCACAGTGAACACTTGTTTAATGGGCAAATGCAACAGGGATCATTCAAGAAACTGAAAAGGACTGAGGCATTAGGACACGGAAGAAAATTCTGAAGCCAAGTGGAAGTCTTCAAAAAAAGGAAAATGAAAGGACAGGCACAGTGTGTCAGATGCTGGAGAGAAATAATTGAATATTATCATTCGGATTTTATACAAAAAATTTAAGTGGTGGTGGTAAGAGCACAGATTGACAGTGCGGGCATAAGCTGTATGAAGATGAGGAGTGGAAGCAGGTGTCTCTCAGGTCCGGCAGATAGAGCTGCACTTAAGTTGAGGCTGACATCTTCCAGGGTCTCACATATCTGGCCCGGCACAAGGCCAGGAAGAGAGGGTGGCGTCAGTGAGTTCAGTAACTAGGGACGGAGTAAGATTTCGCGGAGGCAGTCTCTTTGCAGCCAAGGCTTGAAGGATGAGGGTGATTGGGAGGAGAGGTGGGAGGCAGTGTCCCTGGGTGATGGATGGGGTGCTCGAGCTTGAGAGGGTCTGGGAGTGAGGCGGGGTGGCTGTGATGTGCGCGCGGCACTGTGCGAAAGGCGGGGGTTGTGTGTGGGATTGGAGGGACCAGTTTTGGGGAAAGACGGCCCGAGGCTGCGGCGGGGGGTGTCACCCAGCCCCGCCCCACTTACGCCACTGCGCGGTTCCGCGGCGCCTCTCCCGGAGCCCTCCCGCCGGGCTGCAAGGCGACGGGTGACCGCCAGGGGCCGCTGCCTCCGGTCCCCGTGCCCCCGCCCCTCTCCATTGGCCTTTGTTGCCGTCGGAGCGCCCCGCTTGACTCGTTCCCGTCCGCCCCCTGGGCCTGGCGGTCGCGCCTGCGCACTGGCAGCTGGCCGGGCGCTCGCAGGGGGAGCTGCTGCAGGCTCCGCGGCGGCGGCGGCAACGGAGGCTGCGGGGGCGGCGGCGCGAGCGGCCGGGCTTGGGGTGGGAGCCGAGCCCGGCCCGGGAGCCCAAGCAGCCGGAGCGCGGGGTGCCTAGGCCCCTCCCATTGGACTTCAGTCTCCGGGCCGCCTGACCTCCGCACGGGTATATGGGATGGAAGCGGGACCCTCGGGAGCAGGTAAGGGCCCCCGGGACGGGGGACGGTGCGTGCGCCAAAGACCAGGGGGCTCCCGCGTGAAGAGCATGGTTCCCGAGTGAGAGAGGGGCTCCCGAGTGAGAAGAGGGTCTCTCATGGGATGGGGGGCCCATTTTGAAGCGGACTGCGTGCAGTTCCGGGAGAGAGCCATGTGAAGAGCTCGGAGATGGGGGGCTGTTTTTCCACCGAAGCAGTGTGCAGTCCTGGGGTGGGAAGTAATCTGGGAGCAGGGCCTGAACGCACGGAAGGAGTCCCGGAGACCGGAGAGGCCTACGGAGAGGCCCGGCAGGTGGCAGGGGGAGGGCTCCAGGTGTCCAGGAGAGGAGGGGGCGACACAGATGGGCTGGGAGCTACTGTATGCCGGGGGCGGGGGCTCGGTCGTGCTGGGCTGGGCTAAGCTAATATCTCTTGGGAATAGGCGCCAGAGCTGTGCTGTGAGCTCCGCCCCAGTCAGCCTGACGCGGGGGCGAGGGTCAGGGGGCGGAGGGTGGGGATCCAGCCCAGGGATTTCCCCCTTGGCGAGGCTGGGGACCTGAGCAGTGGCGCCGGAGCATGCGCGGAGGTGCCAGCTGAAAGGGGCTGCCCGATGTGGTGGGGGCGTGGCTGCTTCCTACCCCCTTCCTTCCCCCGCCCAGTTCGACTTAGAAAAGGGGGTGCGCTGATGGGTGTAGTCTCTTTAAAGTTATACTGGCAGAGCGCGAATGGAAATTGCTCCCTTCTCCATCCTGGGGGCTCTGACACTTAGCCTTTAAGCCACACAGTCACAGTTTTCTAGGGATGGGTTGAAGGAAACTACCAAAGTGTCTTTTTTCTGCCACATGAGGAAAAACTAGGACCTCACTGAAGATAGGCCTTAGAAAAGGTGTTGGTTACTGAGGGACCAAAGACAAGACCAGGTCTACCTGGTATGCAAGTTTCTGGTTCAGAAAGACATAAGAACTTTTGATCAAGGATAATGACCTTTTTCACTGAATTGTCTTTTGACCTTACAGTCTAATCTCCTTTTATACCTTAATATTTTCATGGCTCCTGTCTACCAGTGGATCTTTCCTTTCTCATCCCACTACCCAGAAACTGTCAGGGGCTTGTCATTAGAACCATGGTTGCCAAGCTAGTCTATCTGACATTAACAGCTTGTTTGGGGGTGATTTTTAACTTTGGCCCTGATGAGTCCCAGGTCACAGCCATAACTTCTCTTACTCACAAGTGAAAAGGAGGTAACAACAGACAAACTGAGGCAGGACTGCTCCCAAGAAGACGAGACCTCAGGATGGGCTGTAGGCTGATGGTGCCTGTTATGTCCCTGGTCTTTTACCCTGTGATGGAAAGAACACTCTGGACTCAGGAATCCTTTAGGTCATCTCTCACCACGTCCTTCCATTTGGGCTGGTGATAGGAATAGGGTTTCCATTTGGGACATAAGCATTACTTTCCTTGATGGAAAAATCTTTGTCTTTCAGACAAATAGAATTGCTCCTACTCTCTCAAGTCTTTCATTCAATGATCTATAAGTATTTAATGACTACTTTCCCCCAAGCAAAAAAGAACCTTGTAGAGTCTGTATAGGTCTTAAGTGGAGAGTGCAGGCAGCAGGTGACTTCAGTGCAAACTACTTCTTCCCTTTCTTCAGGCTGGTGACTTATTACCTACAACCTGTGGACTAGAATAGGGTAGGTAAGACACTGAGGTCCAGATGGATTGCTGAGAGCTGGCACCCATTCCAGACTGCTAAATGATTTTATCCTGATGAATTCCTAATGAGCTCTGGAGTGATGAAAAAATTGACTTTTTTTGTTTGTTACAAAAAATAAGCTTCTAGGGCTGAAGGTGTGGTTCAAGCACAAGAACTCCTGCTTTGCATGCTTGAAGCCCTGAGTTCAAACCCCCAGCCTCCCCCAAAAAACAAAAACAAGAAAGAAGCTTCTAGGCTGGAGCCTTGTGTCTGGAGTCATCTGTAGCCTTGTTTGGAAAAGTCTAGTAGGAAAGGCTTTGCCTCATCAGAGGATATAATTGAAATTCATTCTGGAAGCTGCTGGTGCAGGGACCCCATAACTGCCTTCTTCCTCGTCCTGGACTGTTTTTGTCTTGGAAGAAGTTGGTGTGGTGTCCTGACAAGACTGGAGGACACATACTGAAAACTAAGGCATTGGTGCTTATGTTCAGGTGTGCCTTCTGTGCGCAGGTGTGTTTTAAGCACATGTACTGAACTGGGAGCCCCTTGAAGGTAGAGGTAGTATCTGGTTTATCTGTGGAATCAGCAACTACCTAGTGTGTGGAGGGCCTGACACAAAGTACATGTTTATCAATTGCATCAAATCACATTCAAGTGTGAACATATGGGTAAGCGCATATGTGTATATTCAATAATTTGTGTTTACTCATGTGGATATGTAATAATTCATGGACAAATCTTTTTTGCAGAGATTGACTGCTTGGTCTTTGCTTACCCACTGCCTAACCTAGCCTTAAGAGCATGTCTTTTGAATAAGCAGTTTGACTCCTTGGGATATATGCGGGCCTTCAAGCTGCAGGGAAGGAATCCTGAGCCAGGGCTTTCAGCTCTGTTACTTTTCCTTCTCTGGGCTGGTTGGGGATGGGGGAGGGGGAGTGTCATTTTCAGGGCCCCTCCCTCCTTGCTTTTGTCTGCAGGGAAGGGCCCCGCCCCTTTCCCTCTAGGCTGGAGCTTTGTCCTCTATGCTGGGGCCCTCATCTGCATCACAAAGTGGCCGTCTGTCCCTGTCTGGTTCTGAAGGGAAGTGTCTCCCTTTTACTGACTAAAAGCTGGGGGCAGGGTGTGGTAAGGGGGGGGGACTTTGTACAGCAGTGAGGCTTTCTGGGGTATACAAAAAGAGAGAGGTTCTCGCTTCCTCCTGCCTTCCCTAGTTTGGGGATGAGGTGGGGTTGTAAGCTCCCCCGTTTTACCAAAGCCTCTTTCCAGAGGAGGATACTCTAAGGTTAAGTCTGGCGGGTCCTCCTGTTTCTAGTGAAAAGAAGGCTTTGAGGCTCGTGTGTGCCACCCCCACCATCATTTCTACCCAGCCCCTAGCTTTAGAGGGATGTTTCTCCCCAGGCCCCAAATGACTATTCAGCCTGGGAGGCTAAGGTGGTGAATGGAATCTGAGTACTTTGAAAGGGAAAATGTCTCTTACCATCATCTATGCTCACAAGGGAGAGTGTTTGTCCTGTGTAGTAGGATCTATGAAAGCTTTTGGGTAAAACTGCAGGTGTTGATGTGTTTGTGTGCTTGTATGCTTTTGTGGTGTGTCTATGGAAATGTTTCTTCATTCATTTCAAACTGACCACCTCTGTGTGTGCCAGGCAACGGAGATTCAGAGTGACCAAGGCAAGTATAGTTTCTGCTTTTATAAAAAGAACTTAGCTGAGGGCAGTGAGGGATATGTGTACAAAGGTAAACTTTCAAGGTCTAAGTTGTTTTTGGATGTGTGTGACAGGAATATCTCTGTGTCTGTCTATGGGCTTGTGTGTAATTTCTGCCCAGCTATGAGTAGTTATGCTTCCACTGCCCTACATCTGCCCTTCCTATATTTCCCTCCAGTTTGGGACTCCATTTCCCTGTCTACAGAGTGGGGCTGAAATTGACAGGTGGTCAGAGGAAGACAGAGCAGTTTAGTTCTGGGAAATGTGCCCCTCCCTCAAGTGGTTCTGACCTCTTCCTGACCCCCCAGCTGAAGATGTGCTCCATCCCCCAAGTCTGTCTGCTGCAAAAGCAGAGCTCTGGTAATGGGAGGTTCTGGGTTGGTTTATCCTTTCCTCCTCCCACCTGGGCTGGTCCTCTACTGGCAAGAACAATAGTAACTGAGGACAAAGGCTTCTCTCAGGCAGTTTTCTATTTTCCTCTCTTTCCCCCCAAGCTAGAAAATAAGACTGGGGGCTGCAATCTGGCTGGCCCTGCCCTAGCCCTTTCCCAAGGGCCCTTTCTTTCTTGAAATTGATTCCTTCTGCTGCCTAGGCCCTTTGGGTGGAAGGATTTGTGGGGCATGGAAAGAATCTTGTTCTCTCTTTCCCAGAGCCTGTCTCTTCCTTCTCCTACATTCTAATTGCTATCTCTCCTTCTTGGGGGCTTCTCTAAGCCTCCTAGCGCTTTCTTCATTTAACTGTTTCCTCACTGTCTCTTTAATTATAGCTTTACTTCCTCCTGCCCTAGCCCCCAACTTGCCCAATCCCCTAACTCCACCTTCCTTTCTCTGGTCAAATCAAGCCTTTTTCTGTTGTGACTCCAGTTCTAGCCTTTCCTCCAGCCTCTTATTTCACCCTGTCTCTGTTCCTTAGTCTTCTTTTAGCCCTTTCTCATTCTCTGTCTCTAGCTTTAGACATTTAGTTTCCTTAGTCCTGTCTCAAACGGCACCAGCCCTCTCCAGTTCACCTTTGGGTCTTCCTCTTGTCTACATTGCAAAGGACCATCAAATGATGCCATTTTGTGTTTAGGATGGTGATGAGTGAAGTAAGCGTCTGGCTGGCAGAGAATAGGACATTCTAGTCTGTTAGATACCTGGTAGAAATAGGAATCTTAATGTAGTACAAGGATGAAAGGAACCAGGTTTAACCCTTTCACTTAACACGTAGTAGGAGCTTACTACATATTTACTTGATGAGTTTAAGAAGCATTTTCCTGATTGGAGAGAGGTTTGAAAACAAAAATGAAATGAATGAGCCTGGGAATGTCTTTTTTTGTGGGGGGGGGGGAGGAATGTCTTTAAGTTAGTAGAAACCCTCAGCTGAGTTAAGGAAGCAGGAAAAAGGCTTCCCCTCTACTCCTGTTTCTGTTCTAGGAGGCTTTGTGCTTTCTCTGATCAAAGTAGTTGTTAGGTGATTGCCAGACTTTGTCCTCACTGGCCTCTTTGTCTTAATAGCTGCGGGCGCCTACCTGCCCCCTTTGCAGCAGGTGTTCCAGGCACCTCGCCGGCCTGGCATTGGCACTGTGGGAAAACCAATCAAGCTTCTGGCCAATTACTTTGAGGTGGATATTCCTAAGATCGACGTTTACCACTATGAGGTTGACATCAAGCCGGATAAGTGTCCCCGCAGAGTCAACAGGTAAGTGATGCACATTCTGCTCCCGTGTCTGGGACCCTTTCCTTTGAGTCTCAGAACCTGGAAAGAGAGGCCCTAAAGGTAAAAGAAAAACCAGTAGAGGGTGGTTCACCAAATCCAAGAACACTTTTGAGGAGATGCGAGGTAAGATAAATGACTAAAAAATATTATTGTATTTGGCCATTAAGAGATAATTGGTGGCTTTTGCCAGAGCAATTTCAGTAGAGTAGTTGGGCTGATTAATCTAACTACAGTGAGTAAAGAAATAAGTGGAAGGTATTGTGGTAGGAATAATGAGGACAGATAACGTTTTCCAGGTAACTTGGCTGTAAAGGGGCAAATGAGGGAATATGTTGGCTAGGGAGGACTGTGGGGGTCAAGGATAGTTTCTAGCACATTTCAATATTTGTTGAAATAGATAATGAAGAAATTTTAAGAATGAGAAAGGGGTATGTTTGTAAATTGAGGCAAAAGAACTTATAGAGAAGGAGAGGTTAAAAGGTACAGGATAGAGATGAGAGGAATGAGAGTAGGATGTCCTTGCTGAGGCAGAAGGACATCACAGGATACATAGTTGGAGGCATTAACCTTAGACAGAAGAAGCAATATTTCTTTCTAAAATTAGCTTATTTATTATTACTTGAGAACCATCTGCACAATTAAAAGAATACCTAAAGAACTGCAAAAAGAGTAGCAATGTAAATGTCTCCTTTTTGTCCTGGCCCCAGAGGCTTTTTTTTTTTTTTTTTAATCATTCTTGAGTATGTTCCAGATAGTTGTGCATATTCAAGCATATATGTATATATAATGTTTTTTTTTCCATTTTTCTTTTATTATTCATATGTGCATACAAGGCTTGGTTCATATAATGTTTTTTAAATGCCCAAAATGTAGGGGCCCATATATCTTGTTCGGTATCTTTTTTTTTTCCATTAAACCTTAAACCATCGTTTTTGGGAAATAGTACATAACAGCCCATGCAGCTCTACCTCATGCATAGCTCCATAGGTGTTCCATTGAATGACTGTATTTAACTTATTTAATAAGTTTATGGGGAACATTTAGATTAAGTCTAAACATCTGCTACAAAAATTGAAACTGTTGGATATTACTGTATATAGATACATTTTTGCACTAAAATGTGCATCTGTAGGGTAAATTCCTAGGAGTAGAATTGCTGGCACAATACATTTTAAAGTATTGAAATAGTGTCAGTTTTTAAAGGTAAGTTGTACCAGTGTTTATTCCATTGTCAAGGTATCAGAGGGCCTATTCCTTATACCTGCACCAATCTAGTATATATCAGATTTTTCGTTTTGCATTTTGATAAGTAGATAATTACATGTTGGTTTAATTTTAAGTTATATTTAATGAATGAAATGGAATGTATTTTCTTACGTCTAAAAATAATAACCCATGGGGCTATGGATGTATCTTAGTGGTAGAGTGCTTTTGTCTAACATGCACAAGGGTCCAGATCTATGAAAAAACTAAATAAATAAAATTAAAAAACAGTAAAACAAAAAACAATAATAATAAAAATAAAACCTACGGGGCAGAGAAGGAGGAAAGGAGGAGAAAAAGAAAAAGATGCATGATATATAAATATGTTTGTGTATATGTTTTGGAACTCAAAGGTGGCCTTGCCTACTATTCTTTATTCTTTCCAGAGATATTAGAGCTGCTTTCTGATAGAAGGAAGGAATAATTTCTAGAGTTAGAGGTTGGTGGACAATCTGTGAGGTTTGAGGGATATAAGTAATACAGACTTGAAAAAGATTGCTGGATAGCCCTGATTTATTGGGATTGAAACTGTCTTGTTTACAGTTGCTCCTAATGTACTATTTTGAGTGTATGTTATGGAATAGTACTCAAGAGGTTTGGTTTAGTGGGGTGTGTGTGGGTGGCCCAAACAATGTATACACATGTGAGTAATATTTAAAAAAAAGAGGTTTGGTTTAGAAAGCGGAGAGGTCAAATAGTTACATGGGCTGGAAGTTTGAAAGAATGACGGACACTCTGGGATCTAAGTAACAAAGGACAAGAAATGCAATCAAGGAAGAGACGGTGATGGAGACAAAACAGGGTGGTGGGATTGAGGGCTTCAGAGAGGTGGAAAGAAGAGGTTCATCTATAGTTCATTCCTAATCCAGTTCAAATTGTTTCCCTTTCTACCTTTTTTGCTTATCAGATTGGTGATTGGAGATTGGAGTAGTCTGAACTCTGGATAGACCTTGGTATCAAGCCCTTCTCCCCTCAGACTCTCCCTTTTCTCAGAAGGCACTCTTACCCACTCTTTCAGGTCTCTTAGAGCCTTGGTGATCTGAGGACCAGCAGCATCAGCTGGGGTTAGATATGCAGAATTTCAGGCTGCATTTTATGCCTGCTGAATCAGAAAATGCTTCTCTGCCCCCCCCCACCCCCCCCCAGGGTTTGAACTTAGGGTCTTGTGCTTGCCAGGCAGGCACTCTGCCACTTGAACCACACTCCCAGCCTGAGAAGGTCATTTTAATAAAACCTCTGAGTGATTCATAGGAATGTTGAAGCTTGAGAAGCACTGCCATAGAGTAGATATGTAAGCAGTGCATATAGGTAGGACACTGCCCAGACTTTGAATTATTTCCCAAAACTTGGAGCGGTAGTCTTTAGGCTTCCACAGGCCACTTCTATCCCCCACAGGGAAGTGGTGGAATACATGGTCCAGCATTTCAAGCCTCAGATCTTTGGTGATCGCAAGCCTGTCTATGATGGAAAGAAGAACATTTACACTGTCACAGCACTGCCCATTGGCAATGAACGGGTAAGGTTGGGAATAAGGGAAGGCCTGTGTTAGGGGTCTGAAGTGGAACAAAGCTAATGTAAACCCATCTGGAATCTGGTGGTCTAGTGATCCTTTTTGTCTTTTGTGCTGAGAAAGTATGTTTTAGGGTAAGGTGTGGGTAGTTACGGATGCTTAGTTTACTGTGTGCCCTTCCTCCAAGTGGACTAAGATTAGATTTAAAATAGACCTAAAGGACTTCCTGCTAAGTTGAGAGGGACAAAGGTGGGTGGAAACTAAGGGGCTGGCTTTATTCTGGGGTCTTTATTGTAGCCTCTTGACTTATGGAGCAGATTCCATTTGGGGCAGGACAGGGAAGGCTGTTCTGTGGGAAACTGATGACAGTCCTTCATTCCTTTCTCTAACACTCCTGAAGGTCGACTTTGAGGTGACAATCCCTGGGGAAGGGAAAGATCGAATTTTTAAGGTCTCCATCAAGTGGCTAGCTATTGTGAGCTGGCGCATGCTGCATGAAGCCCTGGTCAGTGGCCAGATTCCTGTTCCCCTGGAGTCTGTACAAGCCCTGGATGTGGCTATGAGGCACCTGGCATCCATGAGGTACTGGGTATAGTTAGTATCTGGGCTATTAGTGTTGGCAGAATTGCTGTGGGGGGAGGAGGGGAGTGAGCACACATGAAGGTCCCAGGTGTGCCACTGAAAAAAATTTTTTTTCCTTGAAGCCATACCATGTTCCAGGCAAGTATGCATATACATTTAGATGGTTTAGAGCCCTGACCCTATTCTTAGATATCTTTGGGCCTCACCGCATCTGTCCCTGCAGGGCAGAGAAAAGGTAGAGACTTGAACAAGGTCAGTCATACTACTAGTAAAAGATCAGAGCTGGCATTAAAGCCCTGGTGTCCTGCCTTCCAGGCCAGGGCTCCTCCGTGCCCAGGATGCCTCACAGGGTGGGGGCCTGTGCCCGAGGGACCAGTTCTCTGCCTGTCCCTGCCAGGTACACCCCTGTGGGCCGCTCCTTCTTCTCACCGCCTGAGGGCTACTACCACCCGCTGGGGGGTGGGCGCGAGGTCTGGTTCGGCTTTCACCAGTCTGTGCGCCCTGCCATGTGGAAGATGATGCTCAACATTGATGGTGAGTGGGGAGAGCTATGGAGCCAGGGGCACCCCAAATCTAGTGATTACACTCCCAACCTTATCCCTCCCAGCTCTGCAACCACACTCCTAGTCTTAATTCCTATAGCCCTGGCACCCCTATCCCCCATCCCAGTACCCTGTAAGGAAAAGGATATTAATTACAATGCCTCCATTTATTTTAAAGACAGAACCTGAGCTGAGCTTTCCCTACCCTGTCCCCACAGTCTCAGCCACAGCCTTCTACAAGGCACAGCCAGTGATTGAGTTCATGTGTGAGGTGCTGGACATCAGGAACATAGATGAGCAACCCAAGCCCCTCACGGACTCCCAGCGTGTTCGCTTTACCAAGGAGATCAAGGGTGAGGATCCAACCAGGTGGGGAAGGGAAGCAGTGCTGCTTTCTCTAACTGTAAGAGGAAATCCCCTTGGGAGAAGCCAAGCCTGGGCACATGAGCATCCTATTCCAACCTTGACAAGTAGTGTGTGTATCTCAGGCCTGAAGGTGGAAGTGACCCACTGTGGACAGATGAAGAGGAAATACCGCGTGTGTAATGTTACCCGCCGCCCTGCTAGCCATCAGACGTAAGTTGGCAGGGTTACTTAGTCATACTCCAGTAGTGGAAGAGGGCTGAGATTCCAAACACTCTCCCCTTGACCTCCTCTTCTCCCACTGCCCCTGGGAATGGGCCTTGGACTGGCCTTGTTTTTGAACATAAGCTTTGGGAATGTGTCATGTCTCCCACAGCCTTCCCAGATCCATTGGTTGACTACAGTTTTTACTTTGTTGATCTACTTTCCTCCTCTGGTCTTTACTGAAGAGTGGGCATGTTCCACTGATTTCTGTTATGGTCTATAAATATTAGAATCTCTCAATTTATTCATTCTCCCAAAAAAAGAAAGCCAGGTTCCTGTACTCAACCTTGGAAAAAGGTTGGCCTAACCTTGGGGGATTCCATCTCCCTTTTGACTCAAGGATACTCTGGACTCTGAGTACCTACTCTGTGTCAGGCTTTATGCTCAACATTAGAAATACAGACATGGCCTTGACTTGTTGTGGAATTTGCTCCTCAAATCTTTGGCCTTTCCTCTGCAACCCTGTATTGCTTGTTTTCCCATGAGTAGCAGTGCTCAAAGAGGTTGGGTAGGATGAAGCAAAGTCTGAGGCTTTTCACGATCGTGGAAAAGAGAGAGGTTGGATTAAATGCTGTTCTCCCAACAGGTTTCCCTTGCAGCTGGAGAGTGGACAGACTGTGGAGTGCACAGTGGCACAATATTTCAAGCAGAAATATAACCTTCAACTCAAATATCCCCACCTGCCCTGCCTGCAAGTTGGCCAAGAACAAAAGCATACCTATCTGCCCCTGGAGGTGAGGCTGCCAAGTCATGACTGAGCTAAGAACAGGTGTTGTACCTGAACACTAATCATCAGAGGTCTGTTTGTTCATTCATAGTCTGTCATCCTCATTTTGAAGTTTGGAAAGTTGACATTCTGAGAAGATATGAGGTAGTTCTTATGTGAAATGTAGGCCTCATTCTTCCTTGCTAATTATTTTCTTATCCCCAGTCTTACTCTCAGGTTCTGTCAGAGCTGCTAGGCAGAAGGACAAGCTGTATTTACTGTTTAATAAGTAATTAGTTCAGTCAGGGCAGAGATTTCAGATAGTCACACTCCTGTTCTTAATTTCTCTTTTCCCTGCTGTCTGGAACTTGAGATTCTCCATTTGGAGAGACAAATGTACTTTATTCTGAAGAAAATGAAGATGAATATTACCTGTATTGTGTTCCTTTTAAAAAAGTTTTGGGCCCAAGATTTTTCGTACTTTTATACTTCAGTAGATCTTTGAAATACTGCTATTAAAGAAAGAATAGTAATGCTATTTACATCATGGGATATGTATACGGAATCCCTAGGTTGAATTTGGTTTGGTGTACTCTAGGCAAAATATTTAATGAAAAACTACTAAATACTTCATTGTGTGTTCCAATGTTTCTCAAAAAAAAGTATGGTCTTCTGAGTGCCGGTGGCTCATGCCTATAATTCTAGGTACTCCAGAGGCAGAGATCAAGAGGATTGTGGTTCGAAGCCTCAGGCAAATAGTTCTTGAGAGCCTTCTAAACAAATCCATCACAAAAAAAGGGCTGGTGGAGTGTCTCAAGGTGTAAGCCCTGAGTTCAAACCCTAATACTGCAAACGAACAAAGAAATAAAAAAAAGTATGATCAGTGTATCAATAGGAGAGGTAGCACCAGGGAACTTGCTTTAAATGCAGAATCTCTGTCCATACCTACCAAGTCAGAATCTCTTTTAACAAGCTCCAAAAAGGACTTATACACATATTAGTAATCATTGGAGAAGCTCTAGCCTAGACTTTTTGTTCTAGCAAAAGAAGTCAGATAGTTTAGATCAAACCTCTAGCTTTCTTTTGAGTTTCTAGGATTCTAGAATAAACCCAAGGAAATGAGGTTGAAGACAGAGAAAATCCCCCAAATCAAGAACTCTGACTTGGTTGATGGCTGTCGATGCTCAGAAAGTCAGATAAAGATAATTTCTCCGAGGTATAAACAGAGGTCTTGGGCTGGGCGTGTAGCCCAAGTGGTAGAATACTTGTCTAGCAAGCACAAGGCCTTGGCTTCAATATCCAGTACTGCAAAACAGAAACAAAACAAAAAACAAACCAAAAGAACAAAACAGGTCTTTAGCGTCAATCCCAGCTAAACTGAGCTTAGGTGCGATGTATTGCAAGCTGAGGTTTATTAGCAAATTAACATTGTTTCTGTTTAAGCAATAATTTTCAAGATGAATAACTTATGTAATGACTTATATCTTGATTTATTAAGAAAGTTTATTTACTATGTTACATACTTTTTTAGATTCTGGGAATATAGAGATTAATGATAGATAAGATCCCCGCTGTCATGTAACTTATATTCTAGAAGGGAAAGACAGATAATAAAATGATAGACACATAAGATAGTTTCATATGGTAGTAAGTGCTATAAGAGTAATAAAACAGGTTAATCTGGGAGAGATGGTTCATGCCTATAATTCCAGTTATTTGGGAGGCAGAGACAGGAGGATTGTGGTTTGAGATCAGTCTGGGCAAAAAGTTATTACGACCCTATTTCAAAATACAGGCCAGGTGTAGTGGCTCACTCCTGCTCTTTACCTGCTTAGGAAGCAGGGGAAGAAGGGTGAATCTGAGGCCTACCTGGGAAAAGGGCAAGGCTATCTGAAAAACAAAAGCAAAAAGGGGGCTAGGGGTGTGTCTCAAGTTGTAGAGTGCCAGCAAGCATGTGGCCCTTAGTTCAAATCCCAGTAGGTTAAGGAGATAAAAGTAAGGGTGAAAGGGGACAGGAAACTACTTTGGGAAGCCCTTCTTTTAGGGGACATTTGAGCTGAGTTCCAAATTAAGGTTACCAACCTTGTAACAACCCAAGGAAAAGCTTTCCAGGCAGGAGGAATAGCAAGTACAGAGGCTTTAAAGCAGGACAGGGTTTGGATCTTTTTGAGGAATAAACAGACAGCCATAGTGGCTGGGATATATCGTATGAGGAGAAAAGTAATATGATGTTGGAGAGAGGTGCAAGGTGAAATCATATAGGATATTGTGGCCAGGTAGGAGTTTTTTTTTAGAATAGCTTTATTATTCTATAATTAAGACCATAAAATTCATCCTCTTACAATATACAATTCACTGGTTTTTAGTGTATTCACAGAGTTGCGCAGCTAGCACAACTATCTAATATCAGGACATTTTCATCAGCCCCAGAAGAAGGCCCGTATTCATTAGTAGTCACACACTGTTCCTTCTTTTCTCGTATCTACTAATAACCACTAATCTTTTTTGTTTTTGTGGATATGCCTATTTTAGACATACATAAATAGAATCATACGATATAGGACCTTTTGTAACTGGGTTTTTACTTACCATAATTGTTTCAGGGTTCATTCATGTTGTTTTAAAGGCTCACCTGTTTTGTCCCATTGCATTGATATATCACATTTTGTTTCTCTACTTATCAGTTGATGGATATTTGGGTTGTTTGCACTTTTAGGCTGTTAAGAATAGTGCTGCTGTGAACATTCATGCACACATCTTTTTGTGTGAACACATCTTCATTTTTCTTGACTGTATACTTAAGAGTGAAGTCATGTATAACTATAATATGTTTAACATCTTGAGTTGCTGCCAGACTGTTTCCCAAAGTGACTATGCCATTTTATAATACTGTCAGCAATGAATAAGGGTTCCAGTTTTAAGTCAGGTGGGATTTTATTGTAATTATAATAGGAATCCATTGGAAGGTTTTAAGTAGAAGAAAAAATATGAATTAATTGAATCTTTACTGCTAGAAACTAGAAATAGCCAGTACCTCAAAGCCTAGTCTATGTCTTCCTTAAATGGTTATCCTGGCCATTGAGATCAGAAAAATCATTTCTTCATGTTCAAATCATAGCTCATTCCTGCTTTAGTCTTTTTCATATTGTGGTAAAATACACATAACATGAAATTTATCATTTTAACCATAAAGTGTAGAGTCTGTTACATTAACTACACTTGCATTGTCTTACAGCTGTCACCTCTGACCACCTCCAGAATCCTAAACTAAAATTGTATCCACTAAATAACAGTTTCCTCCCCTCTCCTTAGCCCTGGCACCCATTATTCTACTTTCTGTTCTAGGCTTTGGACTTGTTCCTTAGGTAAATAATAATGTTTGAGTTATTAAATATCTTATTTATCTTTTGGTGGGATTGGGGTTTGAACTCAGAGGTTTATGCTTGCAAAGCAGGTATTCTACCCCTTGAACCACACCTCCAGTCCATTTTGCTCTGGTTATTTTATTTTATTTTTTTCCTTTTCTCCTTTTATTTTATGATTTTTACATTTACTTACATGTATACATTGTTTGTGCCACCTCCCCCCTGCTCTGGTTATTTTTGGAGATGGCATCTTAAGAACTATTTTCCCCGGGCTGGTCTCAAACCTGATCTCCCCAAGTAGCTAGGATTACAAGTGTGAGCCACTGGCACCCGGCTACGATTGATTATTTACTGTATCCCAGAACTGTGCTCCGTTCAGTAGGCACTTTATTTAATCTTTAGATGAACCTGTGAATCTTCTGAGATTGTTACTATTCTCATTTAGCACACAATATCTGATCCCAGGTCTGGTTTTGGATCCCAAGTTCTTAGTCACAAACTGATGCCTTTAGTTTTATGCATTAGTATCTTTTAATTTCTAAGTAAAGTAAAACTTGAGAATATATGCATGCACAAGGGATTCTGTAGTCTCCTCTGTGGTTGATAGTCAAGGTCTTACACAGTAGAATATACTCAAGCCAGAATTACCTGTCCTTCTCATTTTCTCAGGTCTGTAACATTGTGGCTGGACAGCGCTGCATTAAGAAGCTGACTGACAACCAGACTTCAACTATGATAAAGGCTACAGCTAGGTCGGCCCCAGACAGACAGGAGGAGATCAGTCGCTTGGTTAGTGGGGCTGCAGAGAAAAACACATGCTCATTTATTCAGCCTTTGGGTCCCTTGGTACCATACGTGCTTTAATGTCCCAAAGAGACCCTCCTTCAGGAAAATCCAAGTCTGGATTTGTTGCCTGACAGTCCATTGGACTATTCTTGCTTCCCTTTTTCCTTCCTGTGTAACTTTTCCTGTGTTACCCACTTCCTTCCTTTCCTACCCTTCTTGCCCCTTTTTAGGGTTGTGTTGGTAGCTTCAGCTTCTCTTTAAGGCTCTTTCTTTGGGACCCAGAAGGTTAGCTGTATTGCCAATCTACCTCCTGAGATGACTTCTTTTGCCCTGCAGATGAAGAATGCCAGCTACAACCTAGATCCGTACATCCAGGAATTTGGAATCAAAGTGAAGGATGACATGACGGAGGTGACAGGGCGAGTGCTGCCGGCGCCCATCTTGCAGTACGGCGGCCGGGTGAGCAGGGTCAGGGCCATACAACATCTCTGGGGCATATGGGATGGTGGTGTTGTATAGCCAGGGGCTTTTGGTCCCGACCCACCTGGCTCTACTGAGGCTCACCTGGTCACCCCCTCTGCCTATCCCCAGAACCGAGCCATTGCCACACCCAACCAAGGTGTCTGGGACATGCGAGGGAAACAGTTCTACAATGGGATTGAGATCAAAGTCTGGGCCATCGCTTGCTTCGCTCCCCAAAAACAATGTCGAGAAGAGGTGCTCAAGTAAGGAGGGTTGACTGTGGGTTAGAAGGGTGGGAAGATCCCTAGAGCTGTTACTTTCCCCTGACCCAGGGGTCAGAGTTGAGTTGTAGTCTGCTCTTTCTGTCTTGAATCTGCCTGCTTTGTCCTTTCTGGCTCAGACTTCCACCTGTTCCTTTTCTATCCACCTGCAATCAGGAGACCTTAATAAGGGGCCATATCTATATCAGAGATGATTTTAGGGTATGAATCTCCTAAGGGAAGCCTGGATTATTGTCATTGGTAATAAAAGTAGTAGTGATGACTATACCATTTATGCCAACATCGTATTTAAAGTACCTAATTTATGTTTTCTCATTTCATCTTTATAGGGTAGGTAGTGATATTTCCATTTTCAGGTGACTGAGACTTAAAGAGATTAAGTAACTTGTCCAAAGTTTGCACATGGAATCAAATCAGAGCTGAGCTTCAAAACTAATGTTTCTAATTGGGAACAAATGAAAAAGAGCCACTCGTTTAGATGGTCCTTTCTCTTATGCATAGAATTGTTCAGTCAGGGCCCTAAACCCAGCTGTTTGGGAGGGGGAGATTTGGAGGTTCGAAATTTGAGGCCAGCCTAGACAAAAAGTTAGAGATACCATCTCAATCAATAAGATAGTCATGGTATTGTGTGCCTGTTGTTCCAGCTACGTGGGAGGCCATAGGTAAGAAGATTATAGCCTGAAGCTAACTCTGGGGCAAAAATACGAGACCCTATCTGAAAAATAACTAAAACAGAAAGGGTTGGGACATGGCTAGCAAGAGTGAGGCCCCGAGTTCAAACTCCAGGACTGCCTGCCTCTTCCCCCCCACCCCCCCAAAAAAAAAAAAGAATTTGTTTAGTCAGATCCAAATGGCCTTGGCACCATCCTGCCTGAGGGGCTGGGAGTAGATGGCAGTGAGGAGGAAAATTATACTGCCTGATGACTTAAAGAAGCAGGCTAGGGGAATAATGGCTTGAGTAAGTGAGTGAGTAAATGAAGAAGTCACTGACATTCCCTTACAGTCTTTTCTTTTTTTAAAAACAGTTTTATTATAGTATGTTAAAAATACCACAAAATGCACCCATTGAAAATGTACAATAGCTGTTTCTCCTGTGTTTTAAAGTGGTGGCTCCCTGGGTGTGGAGTGGGATCTGGGTTCCTTGGAAATGAGAAAGAGTCAATGGACCTGACCAGTTTGGTTGTGGTGATGATAATGGAGATATGTGCCCTGGTGGGTTCACATAGCCATGGTGTCTTCATAAGAATTACATTTAGCAGCTCCTGATGGATTCAATGATGCTAGTCCATGCCCTTGTCCTTTTCCCCCTCTTACTACCATACCTAGCTATATAGCCACTACCATCACAATTATAGTTTCTCTTCAACAATTTTTTTTTGGTTCTCTTTCCTGGGTTCTTTGGATTTTAGCTTAGCATAGGGTGCTCCTGCACTTGGCCTGGCACTAAAGGGCTGGCTCTTAGTAATATTGGAAGGGCTTCTGGCTCTTTGGCTTTGTGTCATAGTCATTCATTGGTAGCTCTGTTCTCTGTGTCCTCTCTCTCCCTTCCTCCCTCTCTGCAATAGTGGGGTTTGAACTCAGGGCCTCATGCTTGCTAGGCAGGTGCCCTACCACTTGAACCATGTCCCCCAGCCTTCTGTGTGCTTCTCGCTTATTCCCATATCCTTCACTTTTCTAGTTTTTTTTTTGGCGGGGGGGAGTGGGAACAATCTGTTGTTTGGGCCATTTTGGGGTGCAAGGAAAATCTACAACCAAAGGCTTAGAAAGGGTCAATTCATTGGGCATCCCTGCCTCCCAGTAATCTCTAGATACAGGGGATAAGAACGTGGCTTGTGCATCTGGATCAGTGGGACCAATTTGATGGGTGATTTAGGGTTAAAGATAAAGATTTCTGAATTTTTAGCCACGGCAGTGGATGAGATTGTCCAGGGAGAATGTGCATAGTAAGCAGAGTCTGAAAATAGAACTCACAGAAACTAGAAAGTAAACGGAGCAAAGTCTCTTAAGTGTGGAGGAGGGGGTGGGATCCAGAACACAGAGAAAGGGCACTCTTTTACTGAGAAACAGGGAGAGGGCACAGAGGTTGCTGAGGAGTTGGAGAAATTTGGTAGTTGGAGATGAGGAGGAAGTTCTTGTAACCCTCAAAATCTTTTTTTTTTTTCTTACTAAAGACACCTATTGCTTCAGTTGTATCACTTTCATGATAGAATTTCAATACGTTCCCTGTTCTAGACATCTCTCAACACTTTTTGGTTCTCAGCAGTGTATACAGTATCCCAAGTGTGGTCTGGTAGTAGAGAGAAGGTAGGGAATACCCCTTCACTTGAAGTAGAGACCCACTATTAATGGAATCTGTTAACACCAGCATTTTTGGCAGCTATACTGAAGTTGTATACAAAGAGAGAAATGGAAGAAATATTGCTAGTCATCCATCAAAGGCCTGCCTCTTTACATGAGTTAGTTTACAATGGTTAGGTTTGTAGGTTTTTTGTTTGTTTGTTTTTGTAGTATGGGGGTTTGAACTCAAGGTTTTGTGCTTGCTAGGCAGGTGCTGTACCTCTTGAGCCATCGCTCCAACACCTAGGTTGTAGTTTTTAATCCCAATGTTAGAAAAAAATTCTAAATACTATAGAGAATAATATAACAAACACCGTTATATCCATCGCCCAGAGTTTTGTCATACTTAACTTCATTCCTTTTCAAAAGTAAATATTATAAATACATTTGGCATTCTTTTATATCCTCTATTCTCCCTTCTGATGCAGTCAATATAAAGCACTATTAAAGCCTTCCTAATGTATATATTTTATTTATCTATATTACATAAATGATTTTAAATTTTGCATAACATAAATTTTAGTAAAAACTTGTGTGTTTTTACTAAATAGGTAAAAAAAATTCTCATGAATTCATTTATATTTACATGGAATATAAAGTAAATATTCACTTTTGTTGTCTATTTGTATAATTTTGTTTTGAAGTAATTTTGTTTTTTTTCAGCTGTGGGGATCAAACCCATAGTCTTGTGCATGCTAGGCAGCACACTACCACTAAGTGCTTTTAATTTACATGCAAGATTTTGATAAATTAAATTGCTTGCTCCTCATTTTAATCTGTCAATACATTTATTGTTACTCTACTGCATGTATACCCTCTCTATTTATTTTCTCTTCCTTTCCTAAAGGCAAAGGAAAGAAACTCCATTAAGAATTGGCTCTTAGATTTCAAAGAACCAGTAGGGGGAGAGGAAGCTCTTTTTTTTTTTTTTTTTTATTATTCATATGTGCATACAATGCTTGGGTCATTTCTTCCCCCTGCCCCCACCCCCTCCCGAGGAAGCTCATTTTTGCTGAACATCTCCTGTACTCCCATCACTTTGGAACCTCATATAATTTGAACACAAAAGCCTTACACTTAGGCTCTGCTTATTTCTTTGGACCCTGTAATCGATCAAGTTATACACAGGTCCCAGTCAAGCAGGACAAGTGGAAGCCCTGAGAATTCTCTGGGGTCCCTCAGCTCCTTTAGTATTCTCTCTAGTTGAACACTTAGCAAGCTATGTCTTGTTTTACTTGACTAAAAATTATGTGTCTTACACTAGCTGTAATTGTGTCTTATTTATGTTAGGCACCTAAGATGGAGGCATTCAGTTAGAGGTACTTACTGCCTCCTGTCATGACCATGCTTGTGCTACAGGAACTTCACAGACCAGCTGCGGAAGATTTCCAAGGATGCAGGGATGCCCATTCAGGGTCAGCCTTGTTTCTGCAAATATGCGCAGGGGGCAGACAGCGTGGAGCCCATGTTCCGGCATCTCAAGAACACCTACTCAGGGCTGCAGCTCATTATCGTCATCCTGCCAGGGAAGACGCCAGTGTATGGTACAGTTCTTTTGGGATAGTGATAATGATGATAGGATTCTTTTCAGGATAGTCCCTCCCTGGGGACTCTCATGAGGGAGTCAATGGAGTACTCCTCTTACCAGAAAAATACCATCCTGTATGAGCCATTGAGTCATCCCAGATTTTACTAACCTGCTCACTTTCCCTCCTAGTAACATTTACTAGTATCCTCTGTGTGCTAAGCTAACCAGATACAGAGGATGGGTCAGGTCAGATTCCTGTCCTTAAGACATTGTGCAGCCAAAGCAGAATGTATGTTGGTTCTACTAGTGTTCCATTGCCTGGTTTCTCTCTTCTCTTTACATTTCTTTGTTGTGGTTGTTTGCAGAATTTTGTTTTGTTTGTTATTTGGTGAGACTGGGGTTTGCACTTGTACTGGGGTTTGCACTTGCTAGGCAGGTACTCAACTGCTTGAGCCATGCCTCTGGCAGTTTTTGCTCTGGTTATTTTTGAGCTAAGGTCTCTTTTTTGCTTGGACCATCCTGGATCATGATCCTCCTGGTTTACACTTCCCACCAGTAGTTTGGAGGAAAGGCACATGCCACTATGACCAGCTTTTTTCAGTTGAAATGGAGTTTTACCACTTTGCAGGCTTTACTGGAACTGTGATCCTCCCACAATCCTTGCATGGGCTGATCTTGAATTGTAATGCCCCTGGTCTCAGCCTTCCCTGTAGCCAGATTTGCAGGTATGAGCCACTGGCACCTGGCTTTTATCTCTGGGTGCTTTTTTTTTTTTTTTTTGGTACTACTAGAGCTTGAACTTAGGGCCTCAAGCTTTTTAGGCAGGTAGGCACGTGCTCTATCACTTAAGCCACTCCACTAGTCTTGTTTGTTTTTTGAGATAGGGTCTTAGGAACTATTTGCTTTGCATTGACTTCAAACCTACCCCCACCCCCCAACAGTAGCTAGGATTGCAGGCATGAGCTGTTGGCACCGGGCTTTATCTTTGTTTTGTTTTTTTTTTTACAATAGGAATGACTATACATTTCTGGATTTGCACTGTCACCCCATTTTCCCTGTCTATCTCTCCTGCTTCAAAAGGAATGCTGCCCTTTTTACTTTGCTCAATTCCTCTGTGTTCTTGTTCCCATGCAGTCCTGCTGCCTTTGAAACTTCATACCTTTCAACCCTTAAACATCTTTAAATTTTTCATCCTAAAACATATTATGCAAATTTGTTATTTCTTTTAGCTTTTATCTAAAAGGTTTTTCTTCAAACCTTTTGAATGAGTTTTCTACATTTTCTGTGCTCACTTCCTCCTCATCCACTTACTTCTTAGTGTCTTTGTTCTACCTTGTTTATCTTTGTCCTCTATCTCCTCTACAAAGAGTAAGCTTTATCTTGCACTGTTCAGTTGTTAACACATACTGGAAATAGAAGGGTCCCTGGTTCTGAATTAGAACTGAATTTCAATCCTGGGCATACGTCAATTGACTTAGACAGATTGACTAACTTTTCTGAGTTTCATGAATTAATTGTATAAAAAAATAGGAACTAGCAGACACCTGGTATATAGTAAACACTTTAAATACGCATTCCTTGTTTGTGCTTTCTAATTCTCTGGTTTTGCTGACATTATTTTGCCTTTACATGAAATATCCAAATATTCTTCTTGGTTTTAAAATTCCGTATCTTGTCTTTAAATTTTCTGTCTTTCAAAATCCAGTTTAAATGCTACTTATTTTTTATTCATTCCACCTAGAGGTCAAACTTGTCTCTTTCCAGATTCCTCTATATACCAGGCCACTGATCAGTTGCTACTTTAATTGGTTTTATTTTGAGCATGGAATAGTTCTACCTCTGCTCTGAAACTTTCTTCCCTCTACACATACACCTCTAAAGTAGAATCTTCCACTAATGTGATGCTCAATAATTCCTTAAGGAGAGAAATTGGTTTATTTCTAATATGTGTCTCTTTGGGGGCTTAATTTGATGACGTTTGGATGAAAGATAGGTATGCTTTTTAGGAAAAGTGCCTTTAGTATTTATCTGTGTTTCTGCTTCCTTCCTCCAAAGGGTGAATCTAGTGTTTTGGCTCACTTCAAGAATATAGTGAAGGAGCCAGGCTCTGGTGTCTCACACCTGTAATCCTAGCTATTTGGGAGGCTAGATTGGGATGATTATGTTTCAAGGCCAGCCCAGGCAAAACTTCAGGAGACCCCCATCTCCAAAAAACCAGAGCAGAATAGACTGGAAGTGTGGCTCACACAGTAGAGTGCCTGCTTTGCAAGCTGGAGTACAAACCCCAGTCCCACCATCAACATAAAAGGAATATAGTGAAGGGTATGGTGGTTCATATCTGTAATCTAAGCTACTTGGGAGGCGGAGATAGGAGTATCTTAGTTCCAGGCCAGCCTGGACAAAAAAAGTTAGTGAGACCCATCTGAAAGAATAAGCCAGACGTGGTGGTACATTTTGGTAATCCCAGCTATTAGGAAGGTGTTGGTAGGAGGATCCATGGTTCAAGGTCAGTCCAGGCAAAAAGCATGAGACCCTTCTGAAAAATAACTAAAAGCAAAAAAGGCTGGGGGTCTGGCTCAGGTGGCAGTTTACCTAGCAAATGCATGGCCCTGAGTTCAAACCCTTGATACTGCCAAAGGTGCTGGGGTAGGGGAAGGGAGGGTTGGGGAGAGGAGAAGAATGTACTAACGCATTCTGAGGAAGGCAGCACTTACTCAGAATTTTCTGTTCTTGGGCTCAGTGATTTACACTTCTCTCTAGCCTCATGCCTTTATTAGGGTCTTGGTTTTCTTCCATTTACATTCAATTCCTTGGTTATACCACTTGGACAGTGGGGCCATCTGCCCTAGAATTAAGCAGCAGTCAGGTTCCTCTAAAGACCCTTTACCTTCCCTTTACCTTTCCGGGAGGCTGGGTAGAGTAACATTCTCCCTGTGATGGGCAAATCAAAGTCCTGTTGCTATTATGGTTGCCCTGATAGTGTGGAAGGACAGTTTCACATTTGCTTAATTCTGATCTAGTACCATACTTATCCTGTCTTTAGTATATTTAACTCTTTTCTCTCCACTTAAACTGTTCCTATTGACTTTCTTAAAAAATGTAAGCTTCTTATTAAATTATGATACACAAATAGGAATCTCAAGTGTTCAGCTCATTGATTTTTCACAAAGTATCACAACAATAGCTAGAAGAACATTACCACCTTCTAACACCATAGATTTGTTTTCGAACTTTGTATCACAGGGATTATATGGTTTGTAGTTTGTCAGATACCAATACACATTACCATGTTGTGCATTATTGTAGTTCATTGTATATTTTCCATCATATGAATACAGCACATTACACGTATTTATCTATTTTACTAACACACATATTTGGCTTGATTCCAGTTTTTTACTGTCATAACTAATGCTGTACATGTCCTTTGAGCATATGTACCTCTTTCTGCCTGTTTCCTTACTAAATGTATATCTAGGAGTGGATTTTAAGTATACTGACTTTTACCTTCACCAACAGTGTTTGACAGTTCTAGATGTTTCACATCCTCACCAAACATGGATTATCTTTTTGATTTAGTCACTCTTGTATACAGGTTTTTAATGATAATGCATTATGTTCTTGATTTGATTCTCTGATGATGTAAAGTTGAGTATCTTTTTATTCCCTGCTCAAGTCTTTTACCTTTTTTTAATTGACAACTGCCTTATTGATTTATTGCTATTCTTCATAATTCCTATATTGAATACGTATGGTTGTTATACATATCCTCTCTGCTCTGTGACTTGCCTTTTTACTTTTTGTGTGTGTGTGGTACTGGGGTTTGAACTTAGGGCTTCATGCTTGCTAGGCAGGCAGTCTACCACTTGAGTTACACCTCCAGCCCCTTTGATTGTTTGAGACTAGTCTTACTATGTAGCCCATGCTGGCCTCAAACTTAATGATCCCTCTCCTCAGCCTCCTGAGTGTTAGCATTACAGATGTGTACCATTATGTCCAACTATCTTTTCTTTCAAATGATTTTTCTTACCTTTCACATTTAGTACTACTCTGACTCTAAGTAGCAAAAGCTCTTTTCTTTTTTTGTCTGTTGGCAGTGGCCCCTCTGCTATTGCAGAGCCTAGAATCTCAGGCTTCTGTCTAGTGCTAGAATCAACAAATGTACCCAGGGAATAAGTAGCTGCAGATGATAGTTCACCTCTATGAGATTTTCACCCTCTCTGAAGTTTTAGTACTTCTAGCTCTGTTGTCTCAGCATTTATCTGCTACCTTCAAAAAGATGATTTCTGTATTTTATCTTACTTTTCTCAGTGTTCTCTGCTGAAGAACAGACCTGCAACTAACTATTCTATCTCTTGTAGAATAGAAAGGATCTTTGGCTTTTTAAACATATTTCTGCCTCTCCTATTGAAAATATACCAAACCCTTCTTTGCGCTTACATTTCTTCATTGGTACTTTGTGTCACCAAAACAGTTTTTGCTTCTGTACACTAATTTTTGTTTCACTATCACTAAATCCAAAGGGCATTTATGATCCTCATTGTACGTGATTACTTAGCTGCATTTGACTGCTGATTAGTTGTTCTTTTTTTTTAATGTTGTTATTTTATTTATTTATTTTTGGCAGTATTGGGGTTTGAACTCAGGACCTGACAGTTGCTAGGTAGGCATTCTACCACTTGTGCCCCTCTACCAGCCCAGTTGCTTCTTCTCGAAACACATTCTTCCATTGGCATTTGTGTTGTAACACTGTCTTGGTCTTCCTTTTAACTCTGTGGACTTTTCTCCTTTGCACATTCATCTATCTCTTGTTCGGCATATATTGGGAGTTCCTCAAGATTCAGATTTAATTCTTCTTCTCTTTTTACTGTATCTTCCCGAATGATCTTATCAAGGTCATGCTTCAGTACTACCTGTACTTAAATATTATACAAATTTGCATTTCCATGTCTTTTGAGCTTCCAACCAATAATATCCATTTGCCTTGATGATATCCTTACTGGGTGACAAAAGAAGCACTTCAAACTCAAAGTGTCACAAAAAGAATTTATGATCTATCTATTCCTGCTAGAAAAGCTAGAAACTTAAAAGTTATCCATAAAATCTTTTCTCCACATGCATCTAGTTTATAACTGAGTTCCTTAAATATCTCTTGAATCTATTTGTTTCCAAACTTAACTGACTTTTTGTTTTTCTTGATGCCGGGGATTGAACCCAGTGACTCATGAATGCTAAACACAAGTGCTGTACCACTGAGTTACATCCCCAGTCTTCATTTGTACTTTTATCTGTTCTGTAGATAAGCTTAATGACCACATTTTTCCTTTTACAACATGGTCCCCTTACTCTCCTTCTTAGTTAATATGGCCTTCTAATTTCTCAAATACATCTTATAGTCTCCTAGCAGAATGCCAATTTTTTTTTTCCTTTTTCTTTCTTCCTTTTTTTGAGATAGAGTCTCGTTATGTAGCTCAAGCTGTCCTCAACTCAGTATGTAGCAGGCTGTCCTTGAAATCATGAACCTCCTGACTCAGCCTCCCAAGTACTTGGATTATAGGCTTGTGCCAGAATGCCTGGCTCAGAGTACATTTTTACATGCCCTTCTCTCTGCCTGGTATGTTCTCTCTCAAATCCCTCCTCTCCAGATTTCACTTCAATCATTACTTACCTCAGTAATATTTTCCTGACTAGGTTATTACCCCCTATTATATGCTCTCGTAGCTCCATGCAGTTTTTCTGTTGTAGCGTTTTTCAGTATTACAATGTTCATGATTTTTAAAATTAGGCACTAGATAGTAAGCACTATAAGAGTAGGGGCCTTATGTGTTTCTGGTCACCATTGTGTTCCCTAGCACTTCATATACTGTCTGGTATCTAGTAGGCTTTCAGTAGATGTGTTGAATGCACTAATAAATTCTCTCCCTTGCCATAGCTGAGGTGAAACGTGTTGGAGATACACTCTTGGGAATGGCAACACAATGTGTGCAGGTGAAGAATGTGGTCAAGACCTCGCCTCAGACTCTATCCAACCTCTGCCTCAAGATCAATGTCAAACTTGGTGGCATTAACAACATCCTAGTCCCACACCAGCGGTATGAACTCTGTTGTCCACTTGCTCTTGTCAAGGTACCTTGCTGGGGATTGATGAACTCAAGACCCTGGCCAGGCAGAGTGAATCAAACACAAGAGGGAGAAGACCAGACGATGCTGGATGGTGTCAGGCAGAAATGACCCGTTTCCTCACTATTTTGTTTTTTCTTCTTGCTCAGCTCTGCTGTCTTTCAACAGCCAGTGATATTCCTGGGAGCAGATGTTACACATCCCCCAGCAGGCGATGGGAAAAAACCTTCTATCACAGCAGTGAGTAACTCTCTCTTCTTAACTCTGCAAGTGATTAATTTCATTTTTCTTCTAGACTATACATGATTTCCTTCCTCCAGCCCTGGCTCTTGACCCTTCTTAAGTTCTACTTACAAATCCCATCCCTAGCACCTGAAAAGCTAACACCATATGTATGGTATCGTTTGTAAGGGAAGAGTAGTGAGAGTATAATCTGTGACCAGAAACTTGGCCCAGAGCCCTGTCACTCTTGCTCTGCATTCAAATTTTTCTCTTTTCACATCTCTTTTTTGAAATACTTTTTAAGGGAGTTACTTAATTGCTGAGACTGTCCTTTTTTCTGGTTTACCTTCACCTTTGGTCCATCTAGTAGATTAGATGTTGCTCCACTTCTTCTCTTGACTATTCTGCTCCCTGCCCCTTAGGAGCTTCCCATTTGCTGGGGATCAGGGCTTCATTTTCACTGCTATTTCTTCTACACTCACATTTCTCTAGGCAGACTGGTCTTATCTTGGTCAGTGCAGGCAAATCCTGTAATATGCCTATCCCATATTTCCTTGTGGCCATCCCTCCTGGGCTGTGGTCATTATCCCCTTTGAAAATGGTATTACTCCCATCAACTACAAGAACACTGTAACCATGATCATGGTTCCTGGGTAGATTAACATGTGAATTCATGAATGGGAAAAAAAACCTTTATTTTTAAGATAAGGTGTCACTGTGTAGCCCAGGCTGGCATTGAACTCTTGATTCTCCTGTCTCAACCTCCTGAGTGGTGGGGTTACTGGCATGAACCACTGTATCCAGCCACTGTTTGATTTAGTAGTGCCAGATCTTTACATACCCCTCTCCAAGGGTTAGAGGTAGGTAGTTCCAGGGCTACCTTGTTCATGCAAGGTAGTTTATGTGTACTGCAAGGGCATTGAAAGGAGAGAATTCTTTTCTGATGGATTAAGTAAATTCTGAATGCATGGTAGAACAGGTTGAGCTGATACTCTAGAGGCTGATCTTTTCTCTTCAATTGTCAGGTGGTAGGCAGTATGGATGCCCACCCCAGCCGATACTGTGCTACTGTGCGGGTGCAGCGACCACGGCAGGAGATCATTGAAGACTTATCCTATATGGTTCGTGAGCTGCTCATCCAGTTCTACAAGTCCACCCGCTTCAAGCCTACCCGCATTATCTTCTACCGAGATGGGGTCCCTGAAGGCCAGCTCCCCCAGGTAAGGCCTACTGTAGGTAGGAAAAATGTTCATGTTGAAGCCAGAGGGCTTGGTTCTTCTATGTATTCTAAGCTATTGGCACTGGGAGACATGCCACTTCTTAGGGAATTTTGATAAATGAGGTGGGCTTGGGGTCAGAGATCACAGTTCAGAAGTGGAGTCAAGTATGTATAGACTTTTTTTTGAAACCAAAAGCTCTTAGTGTCTACTTACTAGTTGGTTTATGTTGAAGACGGTTTATATCAGTGGTTCCCAAATGTTAGTATATATCAACCTCACATTGAGGGCTTGTTAAAATAGTTTGCAGGGTTCTACCCTTAGAATTTCTGTTTCAAAGAGAGTAGGATGCAGCTCTAGAATTGGCAGTTCTGACAAGTTTCTAGATGATGCTGATGGTCCAGAGGCCATACTTGGAGAACCACTGCTGTTGACCTTCCTTCACAATTTTCCTCCTACTCATTCTTACTGCCAAACCTTCATGTCCTGTTGTTTAGACTAGTGTGCTGAACTGGTCTCCTAGACTACCACTTAATAGTATTGTAACTACTGTTTATTTGGCACATCTTATGTGCCATGAGCTATGCTGAGCACTTCAGGTATGTTCTATTTAATGCTTACAATCATTCTATGAAATAAATGATTATTCCTGTTTGACAGGTGACGAAACTAAGGTTTGGAAGTGTTAAATGATTCTTCATTGTCAATCAAGCTAATAAGGTGGAACTGAGTTTCAGATACATGGTCTTAGTCCATAGTCTATGCTCTTAACCATCATGCTTAGTTTCTTCCAAGTCCTCCAGTATTCATAAGATGCCAGATAGATTTATCATATCACCTTTGACCTTTGTTCAGAAATGTCTAGTGGCTTCACATAACCTTGGGTTAAAATTCAGCTTCTTAGCAAAACCGTTATTAAGCCCTATCAGATTCTTCATGCTTTTGTTTAATTGTGCCTTGTTCTTTTTAGTGGCTTTGTGAGGCAGTTCTTATTAGTAGCATTAATAGATTCTGTGAAAATAAGACTTAGGGATTAACCAACTTGCTGAAGTTAATACAACTATATAAAGTTTGTGTTTACGTCTAGTCCTAGTTGATCTCAAAGTTCTCTTTGGCAGAGGATTGAGCGCAAGGCCTCATACATACTAAGTACACGTTCTACCACTGAGCTGCACTCTCAGTCCCTACCCTACAGTTTTGACATCCCATGTCTGACATACATGGCCACAGGCAACTATTTTCTATGATTACTGACCTGTGGTATTTTCCTTAGTTGGTCCATTTTCTTCTAATCATTTTTTGTAGGAGTAAATTCATCTACTCCCTCTGCATACATTGAGGAACTGTATATCTGCTCTTCTCTGGTGTTCCAATCCCTGTCTGTCCTTCAAGCTCACAGGGGAATTCCATTATCTTCTTGATCCTGAAATTGACCTAACTTGGACATTGTGACTTTTTAGTCATTTGTCTGTGAACTTTGATTTTGTGTCTTAATGTTAGGTCGCATAGGAAACAGGTGGGTGCTCTTTTCTGATGCCAAGCCTCCCAGCCAAGGTTTTATAGGAACATACCAGATGAACTGAGTATAAACTACTTGTTGAGCATCAGCTTATAAAGGAAAAGTCATATTGTAAGTGTCAGTCTTTCAGTAAGATGTGTGAACTGAAGAGGAGCTGTGTCTTTGTCTCCCTCCTCACTCTATGCCTAGATCCTACACTATGAGCTGCTGGCCATTCGTGATGCCTGCATCAAACTGGAAAAGGACTACCAGCCTGGGATCACTTATATTGTGGTGCAGAAACGCCATCATACACGCCTGTTTTGTGCTGACAAGAATGAGCGAGTGAGTGAGGGATTGTTGAGGCCATCAGTACCTTCAAACTGTCTTCTTTGTCTTGATAGAGAAGGAGCTGTTGAGATAAAGTCTGGGAATTTAGTCCTTTTTACTGTACAACCTCTATGACTCCTTCCTTCCCCTACTGCTTCCTTCCCTTAGTGGTCACTTCTCCTCTCCTTCCGTTATACTTCCTTTCCCTTCTCTTAGCTCCCTGGCCTAGACCCTATATATAGACCAGCTCCCAGGGAAGGGAAAGGGAACGACCATTTACTGAACTTGTCTTAAGTGCCAGATACTGTACAAGGCATCTTCCTCACATCAACCCTGTGAGGTAGGTACTGTTATTATCTCTACTTAACACTTGGGAAGGTTAAATGACTTGCTGAAATCACACAGCTAATAAATGGCAAAAAATCACAACTTGAACACAGGTGTATTTGACTTTGGAAATTTATTGTGATGGAGTAGAGTTCAACCATGGCCCTAGTTAGGGCCAGGCAGGTCTTGGATCTTGGTTGTGTTTGTCTCTGTGCAGATTGGGAAGAGTGGTAACATCCCAGCCGGGACTACTGTGGACACCAACATCACCCACCCATTTGAGTTTGACTTCTATTTGTGCAGCCATGCAGGCATCCAGGTAGCTGGGCAATGTCCTGGGGTTTCTATTGGGTCAAGAATTAGTTAGTTATTCCTACTTCATCTAGAAGATGTCAGTCATTACTGAGTGATTTTTCAAGTCAGGATTGCTCTCTTTATTTTTTTTGTGGGGGGGGGGATGGTACTGGCATTTGAACTCAGGGCCTCATGCTTGCTAGGCAGGTGCTCTCTAACTTGAACCATTCCACCAGCCCCCTGCCCCTCCCTTTTTTTATGTGCATGTTGGGTATTTTCAAGATAGGTTCTCATGAACTATTTGCCCAGGCTGGCTTCAAACGTCAATCCTTCTGATCTCTTCCTCCCAAGTAGCTATGATTACAAGTGTGAGCAGCCACTGCCTGACTTCAGGAGTGTACTCTTAATAAGCACCAAGTGCACTTTCTGGTTGATCATAAGAAGAGTGCTTTATAGCAGTGGTGGTTTTGTATGCCTGTTCATGGGGCCAGGGTGAGGGTCATCTAATCCATCCATATTCCTAATAATCTTTTATCACCAACACCCCCCGCCCAACCTGGGGCCACTTACCTTCTTTTCTTCTCAGGGTACCAGCCGACCATCCCATTACTATGTCCTTTGGGATGACAACCGTTTCACAGCAGATGAGCTCCAGATCCTGACATACCAGCTGTGCCACACTTACGTACGATGCACACGTTCCGTTTCTATCCCAGCACCTGCCTACTATGCCCGGCTGGTGGCTTTCCGGGCACGATACCACCTGGTGGACAAAGAGCATGACAGGTAAGGCCAGGGATCAGGCTGGCTTCCTTTTTGTACCCTCTCAGGTTTCTTGGGCAGAAGGAAATGGATGCTGTCCAGTTTGGTGTCTTTGGGCTCATCTGCCTAAACCTGGATTGGGGCTTTTTCTGAAGTTGGTATAAGGCACCCCAGGGATGGGTGAGGGAATTCACAGCAGCTCAGCTCGCCAGGAAGGACTTTTTTCCTTTTTTCCTTTCCAGTGGAGAAGGGAGCCACATATCGGGACAGAGCAATGGGCGGGACCCCCAGGCCCTGGCCAAAGCAGTGCAGGTCCACCAGGATACTCTGCGCACCATGTACTTCGCTTGAAGGCAGAACGCTGTTACCTCACTGGATAGAAGAAAGCTTTCCAAGCCCCAGGAGCTGTGCCGCCCAAATCCAGAGGAAGCAAGGAGGAGGGAGGTGGGGTAGGGAGGAATGCAGGCCTTGTTTCTTTCTATAGATGGGCTATAAGGGTGGGTAACAGGGCCAGCAAGACAGACCACCAGCCAGAAATCACTGATATCGACCTCATGTCCTCTGCCTATCACCCCATCTTGTCACATCTGGCCCTGACCCCATTGGACCAAGAGGGGCAGCACTGGTGCCCACCATACACACAGGTGTCTCATGTGACTCACAGTGCTAAAGACTCATGCTTGACAGCTTGGTAAGGTCAGCTCTGCAGCCCTTCGGACAAAAGCTGGTAGGTTTGAGTTTGATACTTTAGATGGAAAAGTGAGGGGCTTGAGAAAGTGGGTGGGAGGAGGGAAGGATTTTTTAGGAGCCTTAATCAGAAAAGGTCTAGATTTGTTTAAGAAGAAAAATGAAACCAGACCCAGATCAATATTTTAGGATACTAGATGTTTTCATGGGTTCAGGTCCAGTTTGTAGGAAGATTTTTAATGCTAATAATTTTGGTTGCTCCTCCCCCAGCTGCCACCTCTCCACTCCCCACCTTTGCCCTATTCTCTCTCTCCATATTTTCAACCCCACCTAATACTTCCTCCCGGACAGACATCCAGACATCCACTCCTCCTCCCTTCCCCCTCTAGTAACACTTAAGGCACTATGGCACTTAGCTCTGAAGTGACACGACCCTGTCTTCCTTCCGCCTGCTGGTGGGTAACCAGTGCCTTCCCTGTAATGGTAATGCTGCAGAACTGCAACCTTTTGTACCTTTCTTTGTGGGACTGGGTGGGGGTGGGAGAGGAGGTAGGTGGGGAAGAAATATGCCAACCCAACAAGCCTCCAGCCAGAATGCCAGCTATTTTCCATTTGAAGGAATTGACTTCCGTATTCATTGAGCTTTTAAAAAATCACAACCTCAAGGTGGTTAAAATCCATTGACACTTGCACTTTCAGACATGACAAGTCTCCGAGCTGCTGAGATGACTGGCCCCTGGCCTTTACTTACACTTCCTCTTTTCCCTTTCCCCACACCTCCCACCCTGCCGGGTCTGGAGTTATTTTCACTCTTGGCTTCTTTTTCCCGCCCCCCTCGATGGTCAAGTCTCTTGTGTTTCAATATTTCTTAACTGGGTTGTCTTATAACAGAAGATCCTTAGGTCTAAAATAAGAAAAAAAAAAGAAAACAAAATGTTATTTTTATACCATAACTTGAGTCTATTGCCAAAATCTGGAAATCCCTCCTATGTCTGATGAGTTTACATCCTGGAAACATTGAGCCATCAGAAGGAACTATGTACCTGACTTTTTCTCTGGCCTGGCTAGGTAGGGGGTGGTTATCTCCCCAAGATGGGGCTCAGGCTCTGTCCTTCCTCTGTGCAGATAATACCTTTTTTTTCTTGCTACAGGTTCCCTCCTTTGCACTGTCCTGCATTCTTTCCTGCAAGTATACCTTCCCTTTCTCTGGACTGGACTGTCCTTTGACCCTTTGACTTATCCCAGATTCTAGCATGTCCTGTGGACAGGCTGAGGAATTTTGCTGCTCCCTATTGCTTCTGTTTACACAAATGAATTTTTCCTGGTTTCCCACTAGGGCATGTGAGTGGGTGGCATGGGCTTTTCTTTCTTTCTTTCTTTTTTTTTTTTTTTGTCTTGTGATACGGGGTTTGGCTGTCTTGCAGGACTAGAGAAGAAGGGAGTTCTACTTGGTCTTTGCTGGCATTAAGGCAAGGCCTCCTCTTCCCTTGACTGTTTTGTTTTGTTTTTTTTTCTTTTCCTGCACTACTGCTTGGGATGGGGAGTTTCAACTTCATTGTGCAAATTCCTCTTTTTGAGGGACCTGGGCTTGGGTTTATCCTATTCTGGTGATGAAGCCATTGTACTTTAGACCTAGCCCGGGCTTGGAGCCCAGCTAGAGGAAAGAAGTTCTGAGGCCTGGCCTGTGGAGTTAAAGCTACTTCTTCCTCTTCCCAGCAGCCCTTGTACAGACCCAGATTTGCTATGCAAAACAATCTATCCCAGGTTCTGTTTTGGTTTGCTACATTGTTCAGTAACTTAACAGAGTGTAACACAGATAGTATGGAGAAAGCAAAAGGACTGTTAAGTCACTCCTCCTGTACTTCTTTCTGCTGGCTACAGCCCCAGGTGGCCCATGGGAAAAAGCCCAGTGAAGGACAGAATGAAGGCCCCTAGGTGGAGGCAGCTCACTGGAGAGCCTACATTCCTTACACAAGTGCCTAAAGAGAGTGATGCCAACACTCCATCTGCCCTGTCCATGGCCTTCATATATAGTCTACTTCATGTTCTGTCACCTTTTTGGGGAGGAAGCTCTCCTAGGACAATGGGCTCTGCATGTTGTCTACTTGGGTACATTTTGGGCCTTTGATAAGGGCCCTGTTCCTGGAGGGTCCAATCATTCACCAGCATTCGCAAATGCCCATAGGGAGCAGGTGGCAGTCACTACTCCCAGCAACAATTTTGTGTTCTCTCCTTTTTTCTCTTTGCCTCACTCTCTCCAGTTGGGTTTTAAGCTGGGGCTTAAAAGGCATTTTTAGTCTTTTGGCATTGTACATGCGATTCAAAGTACAAGCAAGAGAATGGGCTTGGGCAATGAAAAGAAAATAACTTCTTGCTCTGATTTTTATTTTTTTAATGTTTGAGGCTTAAAAAATACCCCTGACCATGTTGATTATTCTTAGTGATACATCACATTGAAAAGTGGTGTTGGCAGGAAGCTTTAGGATTGCTTGGATTTAGTTTAAGTGGTGCTTCTTTCCAAGCTCTGAGGAAGCGCTGGGAGGACCTCAACCTCATCCTTCTAAATAGGTTTCTTGTACCTCCCCCCGCCCCTTACTGTTTTAATTTCCTTTTTGTCTTTTCTCTTTCCCTGGCTTCCTTTTCCTTTTTTCTATTCACTCAGCTTGCTTGCTGGCTGGCCTGCCTGCCTGTCTGCCTGTCTGCCTGTGTGCTGGTGAATTCTCTGCATGGCTGCAATGATCCCAACGTTATTTGGCAAGGTCAGGCTTAGCTCCTCTACTGCAGAAGACCAAGAACCTGTTCCCCATGCCCAGCGGTGTTAACCTTGGGTTGAACTGTCCAGACTTATACTAGACAGAGCAGCAGGCCTGCCTAACTGACATGAAATTGGAAGGGTTCTGGCAGTTTCCATACGTAGCCATTCCTTGGAGCTGGTTTCTCTCATTGCTTTTTCTAGCTCTGCTTTCTTTTCTCTCTACCCGGGGCCTCCCTTTGCTGAGGATGTCCTAGGATCAAACTACTTGGGTATTCAGGGTTAAAGGGTAAAAAATGGAGAAGGAAGAGAGTAAAAAGAAGAGAAAGGAGAGTTTGGGTAAAAGAAGGGAAAGGAAAGCACTGCTCTCTGTGCAGTCCAGCACGACCCATTGGTTGAGGTGCTACTGCTGGCCTCTGGGGTAGATAATCCTGGAGCTAATGTTGCTGGGAACTTACGCTTTGAAGAAGGCTGAAGAGTATGAAAAGTATGAAGCCTCCCTAAAAATCTCCTAGTTCCCATCTGCTAGATAGCTCCTCTTTGGTCCTCCTTTTGACTAAGCAGCAGTGATTTTGAATAGTTTTCTATCCAGATACATGAAAGATGCCAGTATACATCATGGGCAGCAAAAGGGACACTTGTTTTCTTAGCTGGCTCACAGGATATCTGCAAGGTTAGAAGGACAGTGTTTTATACTTGGCATCATGTATAACAAAAAGGAATAAATGTTCCTTCCCTTTTAGGGTAGAAAAGTCATCTCAATCTAGCCAGAAGGCAGTTTTGGGAACTATGTTGGAGAAAGCTGTTTTTTATTTATTTACTGGGCTTAGGTCAACCTAGTATGGTAGCTCTTCCTTCTTAAAGTCTGATCATGGCAGGGATATGCAGGGCACTCTTTCCTACTTGGCCTTTTAAGCAGACTGGGGAAGAGGGATTCTCTGGTTTTCTCTCCTCCCCCTACCCCCTCCACACTTACTAGGACTTGCCTTCTCCCTAGGCTGGGAGTGAGGCTGGGTTGGTGCTCTCCCCATACTCTACTCCTACTGACTTAGAACCTCTGGCTGCTGTTTGGGAGCCCAAGAAAAGGAGTGGAAGGAATGGGCTCAGAACAAAATGGAATAATGTAGGGAAGGCAGATTTCCTTCTTTAAAAAGGAAAATAGGAAACTCTCCAAGAATTGTGCAAGTAAAGACAATGTGTCCGAATGCACTGAGTCCCCTGGTGTAGTAGCAATAAGGAAAAATGAAATTACTTTCTTGTACACATAGTCCAACCTGATTGGTATGTGATGTTGCACTTAGCAGCCAAGTGGTGGGCATGTGTGACTACTCTGGGTTTCACTTTAGTTTCTAAACTTTTTGTCCCTTCAAGTCCAGCATGGATGGGGAAATGTCCCTGGAGCCCCACAGCTGTGTACTTGTTTGCATTTGTTTCCCTTTGAGACTTGTGTTTGTGTCCTGCTTTGAGCTGTACCTTGTCCAGTCCGTTGTGAAATTATTCCAGCAGCTGTAATGTACAGTTCCTTCTGAAGCAAGCAACAGCAGCAGCACAATTCTGTGTTTTATAAAGACAACAGTGGCTTCTATTTCTAAATTGCAGTCTCTCTCTTTTTTTCCTACCAGAAAAATAAACTGTTGGAATTAATTACATCTCTGATAGGTTTTAGGATGGAATAATAATAGATTGTTGTGCAATCATACTGCACAGGGCCTCTGTGTATTCTTCATTCCACAAATATGCAAAGTACTGTGCCAGCAGTATTGTGGGAGAAGCTAGGCACAACTTAAAAATGAGGAAAACAGGGTGTCTTTAATCTTCAAGTTTGGTGGGGAATGTGATTAGCGACACAGACCCCTCATACAGGCAAAAGATAACGAGGGATTTGTGCAAGGCTATGGCAGTGAAGATAGAAAAGACAGATTTGAGAGACAGGAGATAGAATTACTAAGCCTCTATGACTGATGGGAGAGGAAGAGTAATAGAAGCTAGTGCTACTTTAGAAGGAAGATGGTGAATTTTGTGAGGAAAGATAATTAGTCTTCTATAGAGTGATGATTTTGGCTTTTTTTTTTTTTTTTTTAAAGATTGAACTAAGGGCCTTGCACTTGCTAGGCAGGTGCTCTGCCACTTAAACCACAAGCCCATCATTTTGCTTTTAGTCTGTTTTTCAAATAAGGTCTTATGCTTTTGCCTGGTTGGCTTTGGACCCAGGTCCTCTTACTTCCACCTCCTGAGTAACTGAGATTATAGGCATGTGCCATCATGCCTGACTTGTGTTTGAGATAGTCTCTAACTTTTTGCCAGGGCTGGCTTCCAACAACAATCCTCGTATTTCACCTCCTGAGAAGCTGGGATTACAGGTGTATACCACCATACCTGACCCTTTTGTTTTTGAGCATCTCACTATGTATCTCAGTCTGGCCTTGAACTCAAAATCCTCCTGTGTCTGTTTCCCAAATGCTGGGATTACAGATATGTGCCACAACATGTGGTTTAGATAGAGTTTTGATGTTCCTGTGAGGAATGAGGTTAAATGTTTCTAGTAAGCATAGGTTTGATGCTCATGCAAAACTACAAAACTGCCATTATAGATACTGGAGTCATACTCTTACAAATGGTAGCTAAAGTCAGGCATGAACAGGGTTGCTTAGAAAAAGAGTTGAGGTCAGAAACATGGTGTATACCCCTAGGAAACTCAAGGATAGGGAGAGGGAGAATAGCTTAAGGTGACAGCTAAATCACTACTTGATACTTTATCTTTGGCTGGTTTAATAAAGTGAGAGGGAAAAAAAAAACAGTGATAAAAGGTGGTACAAGAAGTAGTTAGCAACATGAACTGCTACAGGGAGGGAGTATTTGTTTCTGCTCATTTTACCATCCTACTCCCTATTTTATCTGCGGTTGTACAATAATACAATTTACTGAGGTCATGCTCTAGTGTTTTTAAAAAATGAGCATTGGAAAAAAATAATGCAGCACTAGGACTTGCAAGTTGTTCACCACAACCACTACCACCTCCAAGTTGCTCCTCTTATTAGGAGATACTTGTAAAGTAATAAAATAAACCAAACCTAATTCTGTTCTTAACCAGTTACATAGATGATATTCTAGTACGTCAAATAGCTGTTAGCTCACTGTATTTTTATAACTTGTCTTCCCCAGAGAATATGAACCCATAGGAGCAGACGTTACATTCTATTCATTTTTTGTCACCTTGGGGCAATAGCATACACCAAGGTATCAATACTTGAGGAGTAAAATGAGCTAGAAATCTGTGGTTCATGACTATGGATGGGGGAATCAAGAAATGATACTAAGTGCACGGGATGGACTTGGCATTCCTGAATCTTCAGGTAAGCAGAAACAACCAAATTATATTTTCCCACTCCACCCCAGTGTTGGAGGTTCTTGGCTTTGTACCTTAAACTGGCAGTACACTTGTCAAGCATGCCGTTTTTGGCATTCCTGCCTGGTACTGCTAGAGCATTGTTATTTCTGTACACTGGGAGAACATGGTTCAGAGAAAGACTCTGGCTGGCAGAGGGCCCAGTGAGGAATTGTCACTGGCAGCCCGTGTGTATATAATGGGGCTGGCATTCCTCAGGAGGCCAAGTGTGACTTAAAGCTAACCTGTGGCTACCACCTGCCAGATTCCCATAGGAATCTGGTTAGGAGGATTGGTTGAACTTTAGTGAGTTGGAACATGAAACAAATTTCTCCCAGTTGAAATAAAACAAAATTATGACTTTGAGTGGACCAAAGACTTTGGTACCAAAGGGTGTGGGGATGACCATTATGGCAAATTTTGCTATAAACTTAGTTTTAGAAAGAAGTGATTTTTGAAGGCTTCAGAGTTTGGCCTTTGGTTCTTTCTCAAAGAGACTTGGAGCCCAGGACTTGTACTGTGTGGTCGTGGAGCTCAAGGTTTTGAGTGAAGTCTTGTCCATGCACCCCTGGACATCCCTTTTCAAGCATTGATTGAACAGCCTTTCCTCTGCCCTATTGACAAAATATGCTATAGCACATTCTTGTCTAGCAGACAAATGAGGGGTAGAGTGAGGCTGGGTATTGTTAGGGGTCTCTTGGCTTATACCCCCAGAATCTAATAGCAATAAGGGTTTGGTGGCTAGAGGAAAAGATTACAGTTTAAGGAGAAGAGTACTTTGAAGTTCTGAGCTTGGGCCATCCCAGGCTGTTTGTAGTGCTTGAATGGAAAGTAATGTTGAGTTTTGGAAAGTTAGCTGTCTGGGTTTGTTTCTAGCTTTCCAGACATTTATTCCTTTGGCTATCGGCTGAGGAAAGCTGTCAGGCTTAGAAAGGTATACACAGCATGACACAAGTAATCTTTCAGGCAGCTGTTTAAGGAGGAGCTGGAAAAATAGAGTTTCTGGGGAACGAGGTACATTTGGAAGTTCTCCACTTAATGTGTCATAGCTCTCTTTCCTAGGACACCATAACAAGGTTTTTAGGCCTTTGTGGCTCATGCTGCAGGAACATACTGTTCTACTGTTTTGAACTATAGCAGCTTTGCTATCATCTTGGCATTGTCTTGTCTTTTGAAGGCAAAGTGAAAATAAGGGACCTATCTAGGGAGTCCTTAAAGACTCTTTCCTATCTTCCAAAGGCAGAAAGAGGCTCTCAGATTTTTGGAAAAGGTCTTTGGGCTGTTAATGAAAGTGAGATCCAAAAGGAGGGGCTTAGGTACTTTGAGGTACCTGGCTAAGTGTTTTATACAATTGCTTCTTTGGGGTGTGGGGTGGTACTTAGGTGTGAACTCAGGGCATCACACTCGCTAGACAGGTGCTGTACCACTTGAACTGCGCTCCCTGCCCATTTTTGCTTTATTTTTCAGGTAGGGTCTCACATTTTTGCCTGGGGCCAGCCTCAGACCCACAAACAAAGATCCCTACATACAGCCTCCTAACACAGGGAAGGCACCAACACGATTGAGATTGAAGTATTGCTAACTTTTTGCCCAGAGTGGCCTCAAACCATGATCCTCCTAATCTCTGCCTCCTGAGCAACTAGGATTACAGAAACAAGCCACTGTGCCCAGCCTATAATTGCATCTTCATGGTGACCATGTTTTCTAGTTACCTTCAATTGCATATTACAGAATTCTGATTAGATTGGCTTAGATAAGGAAACTATCATTTCACATGACAAGAAGTCCTGAATTAATATGGCTCCAACGTTGGTTAACTGTGTGACTAAATGATAATACTAAACAGGTTGCTGTCTTTTTGCTTTGATATTCTTTGTGTTGTTTTATCCTCATCCTAGTTCATCTAATGCTCCCAAGATGCAATTAATTCCAGGAAGGAAATGATGGCAAAATGATGTATATCAGAAGAGGGACTAATTTCTCCAGTGTTTGATTTTAAAGCAAGGAAGATTTGGCCTCTTGTCTCATTTGCTAGACATGTTTCATCATCTCTCATTAGCAAAGCAAGTAAGATCATCCTTTGTGAGTGGCTTTGATTAGTTAGGAGTTACCCTTTGAATCATGCAGACTAGAAAGACCAGGAATGCTGACTAGCAAGAAAGAAGGGGGTAAGGGGTATTGGGTAGGTATCCAGTAGTATTTCCCCTACATATATACTCTGGCTTTTATAGGTCAGCAACATGAATGTCAGGGTGAGTGGCTTTTCCAGGATTGGTGAGTAGCTGAGGGCCTTCAATCTTATGTCTGTCCCTAGAGTCCATATGTTTAATACTGTGTTCGCTGCAGTACAAAGTAGTTTCTTTCTGCCTTGTAGAAATTGCTGGTAGATTCTGTTCTTATCCAGTGGTGATATTTCTTAGCTAACACAGAAATCATAGGTGTTTAGAAGTGCTAAGTGGAGTAGAGTAATAGTGGCAGCAAGGAAGGAGATGGCTATGCTTAGTCTCTTAAGCCTAACTTGCTGGGCTTGGAGTCTTTCCAGGTACACTTCACCCTGAGTGCACCTGAGTATTTGGTATCTCACTGTGCCTTTCCTTAATGACCAGTGGTATTGATCATCTTGTGTGTTTATTTGCTATGCTGATAACTTTGTTAAATTGTTCACATCTTTTACCCATTTTAAAATTGGTTTATTTGTCTTACTGAATTATAAAAGCTCTTTATAAATTCTAGATACAAGTTCTTTGTTGGATATATGTTTTGCACATATTTTCTCACAATCTGTGGTTTTTTCATTTTGAAGAGCACAAATTTTTGATTTTCATGTCCCATTTGTTAATTTAAAGTTGTTTATTACCCTTTTTACTTTTCTAGTTCATGCTTTTTGTAGTTAAGAAAATTTGCATTGGCTATTTGGTGGCCACTGAGGTCCTTGACATTCAGAGGGCACTGTTTCTCTGCACCTGAGACTGTACTATATTATAGTTCTTCTGAGAATAGTCACTGCCACCAGGGATAAGGTCAGAGTTTTAGCCTGCACCCTGAGCCCCATTCTTGAAGCTCATTGATTTATTCATCCATCTATCCAACAAATAATAAAGAATGCTGTTATGTGCCAGGCACAGGAATTGTTGTGGGCACTGGGGCTTTTAACAAGATACCCAAAGACCCTGCTTTCTGCACTTGAGAAGAATCATTTGGGAGTAAGTTATCCCAAAACAGAATGTGGTCAAGGGAGAGCCTCATACAGCTTCACCTTTGGAAGAACTGTCCAAGCCATTTTGCCGTCCTACACCTTGA